CAGGAGATGACAGTGTGTGGGGGGCGGTGAGGGTTAGGCAGGGAACTGGTGAGGAGGTGATGACAGTGGTCCCAGGGAGAGAAGATGGTGGCTGGGACCAAGGTGGTGGCTGAGAAGTTGGGAGAAGTAGAGAGATTCTGATTTTGATCTGTCCCACCATCTCTCCACACAGGCTAAGCCCTTATTCAGATCCACTCGGACCCATCCCACCACGGAGACCTCAGCCCAGGCGGCCCCTCAGACCTACGCTGAGTATGCTATCTCGGGACCTGCAGGAGGGGCTGGAGCCGCACCCCCCACCGGGCCAGAACCCCAGGCAGGAGAGACCCCCAACCAGGCTCCCAAACCAGGGGCAAAATCCAACAGCATCATTGTGAGCCCCCGGCAGGTGAGGAGGTGGATAGAGAAGTGGGGCTTTAAGTTTTGGTGGGAAAAATATGAATAAGGATGGCTTTCTTGTAGGCAGTGGAAGGAGGTCTAAGTTCTGGCCATTGTACTGTCAGCAACACAGTTCGTTCATTCATTCATTCATTCAGTCATTCAGTCATTCAACTACTGTGTGTAGATTGATGCTGCCCCACATGTTTTAAGTTTTGGTGGGAAGAATATTAATAAGGATGGCTTTCTGGTAGGCAGTGGAAGGAGGTCTAAGTTCTGGCCATTGTACTGTCAGCAACACAGTTCATTCGTTCACTCATTCATTCATTCATTCATTCAACTACTGTGTGTAGATTGATGCTGCCCCACATGTTTTATTTTGCTATAACAAAAATACCATAGACTGGGTGGCTTAGACAAAAGTTTTGGAATTATTTCTCACAGTTTTGGAGGCTGAGAAGTTCAAGATCAAGGCATGTGCAGAATTGGTGTCTGGTGAGGTTCATAGAGGGCTGTCTTCCCATTGTGTCCTCATGGTGAAGGAAGGGGTGAGGGAGCTCTGGGGTCTCTTTTATAAGGGCACTAATCCCCTTCATGAAGGCCCCACCCACATGGCCTAATCACCTCCCCTCACCTCCTAATCCCATTGCATTGAGGGTTAGGGTTTCACTTTTGGTGGGACAGACACATTCCATCCATAAGAGGCTGACTGTTCTTATTGGGGGTGTGATTGTGTTAGGGCAGCTACATTTCCTAACCCCAGTTTTGTTCCTTTATTCAAAAACTATTTATTGAACACAGACCCGAATTCAAATCCTGCTGTGCTATATAGTAGTTGTGTGATCTTGGGCAAGTGGCTTAACCCATCTGTGCCTTTAAAATGGGGGCTCACACCCTAACCACTGGTTTGGCTCAGTGGATAGAGCGTCGGCCTGTGGACTGATGTAATGAAAGGGAATATTTTATTTAAAGAAATAATGCCTCATCTTTCTGCATTCCCAAATAACCAACCTCAGATGAGAGAAAACAGCTGCATACATTGGCGTGAGGTGAATACTTAAGTTTAAAAATGCTAAGTCGAGTCAACATCTTCCCCTGTGGTCACAGAAGCTGTCACAAAAGTTTTATAAATTGCCTACATTCCCGCACCCCATCTGGTGATGCTGGTATGTTGCAGCCATGGATGACTTACTCTTCACAATAGTCCCACATGAATCTAGTCCCTATTTTAAAATGAAAAGATTTTTTTTTAAGTGACAATGAGTGCCTGGCCGGTGTGGCTCAGTGGTTTGATTCTTGGTCAGGACATACGCCCAGGAGTGCAGGAGGCAGCCGATCAATGATTCTCTCATCATTGATGTTTCTATCTTTCTCTCTTCCTCTCCCTTCCTCTTTGAAATCAATAGACATATTTTAAAAAAATAAACACAATGAGATCCCACCCATACCTACTAGAATGGCTAGACTAAAAAGCACAGACAATAACGAGTGCTGTGAGGCTGCGAAGGAACTGGAACCCTCAGGCACTGCTGGCAGGAATGTGCAGTGGTGCAGCCACTTTGGAGAATGGTCTGGCAGTTCCTTAAATGTTTTTTTTTTTATAGATATATTTTATTGATTTTTTTACGAGAGGAAGGGAGAGAGATACAGAGTTAGAAACATCGCAGAGAGAGAAACACCGATTAGCTGCCTCCTGCACATCTCCTACTAGGGATGTGCCCGCAACCCAGGTACATGCCCTTGACCGGAATCGAACCCAGGACCTTTCAGTCCGCAGGCTGACGCTCAATCCACTGAGCAAAACCGGTTTTGGCCCTTAAATGTTTAATAATAGAGTTAGCATATGACCCAGCAAGTCCACTCTGGGTACATACCCAAGGGTAATGAAGATGTGCGTCCACACAAAACCTTGTACACCAGTGTTGATAGCGGCATTATTCACAATAGCCATAAAGTGTGTAGAACTCAGACGTCCATCAGCTGATGACTGGCTTCTTTCACGGAGCTTGTTGAAGGTTCATTCATCCCTTCTTGTTGCTGAGTAGTATTCCGTTCTGTGGATTTGCCACATCCTGTTTATCCATTCCTCCATTGGCGGACAACCCCCTGGGTTATTTGTACTTTTTTGTTATTATAAAAATGCTGCTGTGAACTTTTGTGCAGATGAATGTTTTCCGTTCTCTTGGGTATTGATCTCGGAGTGGATTTGCTGGGTCACATGGTCACTCCCTGTTTAACTTTTTCAGGAACTCCTAGGCTATTTTCTAAAAAGTTGCACCGTTTTACATTCCCACCAGGAATGCGCGAATGTCCCAGTCTCCCCACCTTCTCCCCACCTGTCACTGTCTGTCCTCCTGCTCTGGTCATGTCCTTCAGAAATTCAAGTTTGATCCCGCCCCTCCCTTGCTCAGACCTTTCCATGGCTCCCAGTGCCTCGGGCCTGCGGGACTGCGGACCCCTGCAGGCCCTTCCCGCACCAGCTGCTCTGATCACCACACCCACCACGAGAGCAGGTCCCACCCTCTTAGAACCACATTCCACCTCACTTGGCAATTACACGTTGATCCCCGAGGTCATTTTGTTTAATGTCTGTGTCGCGCACGGGAGCAGGGATTTTGTCTGTCTGGGTCACTGCTATATCCCCAGCACTTAGACACACGGGTGGTGCTCATTAAATACTTACTGGATGGATTAGAGTAGTGATGGCGAACTTATGATATGCGTGTCAGAGGTGACATACGAACTCATTTTTTTGGTTGATTTTTCTTCATTAAATGGCATTTAAATATATAAAATAAATATCAAAAATATAAGTCTTTGTTTTGTTTTTTTGTT